AAACAAGTGCCTTAGTGTGCGAAACAGCAACAAGGAGATGAGAGAGACAAACCGGGCTCCTATCTCATACTGGAATCCAAAAGGTTGTAGCTATTTCAGAATTACAGCAGCAAGGAATTCAGTGTTACAACAGGGGCACAATAACACTGAGAAACTCAGTGCAGATGACAAGACAATATAAATTGAATATCTAATAATAGAGCCAAAAAATACACATTTACATGGAAACCATTAAAAGACAGATGGCTGGCAAGCAATTTTCCCTATGGCCTTCGTTACATGTCCATCCGGTGCTTGTATTTGGGTCATTTGCTAGCTAATCCCCATGTGGCAGTCTCAATGGAGGTGAGGCAAAGTGGTCCCTACTGGCTTCACCTGATTTTAACTTACTGTTGAGATGTACTTGTTCAGCAAAATGAACCAATTCTACATAGAGTTGATTAAACAATCAAAACAGCTAAAAAATAAAATGTCACATAAAATATTTCATCAACTATAAATTGGGTCCACTTGCATTTTTTTCGGTGTCTTATAAACTGGAAAGGAAATTAGAGTCAAAAAAACAAAACACTCTTGTACATATTGACTTCTCTCAGTATAGTCTTGATGATATATCCTTTGATTCAAAGCAAACTTCTCCCTTCTTTACTTTGATTTTATAAGTAATTCTTTGTAAACATACTTTAAATACCAGGAATCCCTTCAATGGTTGCACACACTAGAATTTTAAGGTAACAATACATATTTATTCAGGGAAATTTCTAGAGGCAAGTTAACAGAGTGATTGATCATTTCACAAAGGATCATACCAGGTCAAAAACCCAAACTGACAGTAACATTAAAAGACCAAGGAGAAGGCACAGTTGAATAGCTTTAGAAAATAAAGTTTTTAAAAAACTTGCTAACATGCCTTAAATCTTCCATTCCTTCTTTTAAAATACTGTTAATCAATGACTTTAAGGAAGAAAGGTCTTAACTAGTGTTTCCATAAAAATAAAGATTTACATTTATACCCAAATGAAAAACTAAATTAGGAATGTGCTATGAAGAGCTTGGAGTAGTTTTAATTCAAGAGCAGAAATTTCTGCCATGGAGTTGTTTCTCCAAGTTTCACACAATTATTGCAAAATGGAACAGCTAAGAAACATAAAGGTAATGTTAATGATCATGGTTGGGTTTAACAAATGCAAAATCAGCAATAAGAAAAAAAATGTTCAAAGCGGCCACAAATCCATTTCCCACTTTCAAAACCTCCAATTGACTTTTTTTTTTAACGAGTGTATTATTTTACTCATGTAAGAATAAAAACATGTACTAGTAGCATTATCTTATTTACTAGTTATATGACTTAAAGGAAATGCCTTCAATTAGATGGTAAGTCAAAATGAAGTCGGACTACAAAACAATAGTTAGGGTTTACTTCTATTGCTTTGAAGTAAACTGACTCTTTTAGTGTTATCTCTATGCAAAGCATATTAACAGTACTATTTTTAAAGAGGATGAAGGGAAATGATGTAATATTATCCTTACCATAAGAGAGCAGAGAATTTGGGGTCAGCCAGTTTTTCCACTGACCTAAACACCAAATTTCTCCAGAAAATGAGAGGGTCCTTCGAGCAGTCATATGTAACATGAAAGTCTGGCAAAAACTGCACATTTATAATTCCAATTTTACTCTAACCACAACTTAAGATTCAATATAGTCATTACTAGATTGGAGGCAAGGGAAAGAGGGATGAAGTTGAAACCATGTATGCTTTTTTCATCAGATAGGATGAATTCTACTCTTTTACTGTTTGTTTCATCACATCCTAGCCATATTCTTGAGTTTAGCACAGAAAAACTTGTAAAATATTAAACTTTACCATAGGGAAATTGATTTTGCTATAAAAACGTTTCAGATTACCACTTAATCTCAACCAAACTACATCAAACACTGAAAGTAATTATACATAGAGTTTATAAAGTAAACTTGATCACTATACTTAAAAGAAATGATAACTTTGAGAAGTACCACAGCAATAATCTTTAAGCTGAAGCAATATAAAGCCCTCCTACAGTAAATGCCAGATTCTTCAGCTAAAATGCACAGTCTTGATTTAGTTAAGCAAGTCAAGCGTAAGAGCCACCTCCCTCCCTGAGTGCAGCTCTTTTGCTTCCAGCCCTGCCCTCCTCACAGAGCTGTATTTCACAGAAGTTCCTGGGGGGGCAGCGGAATCCACAGATGTAGTTTAAACAAAGTTTTGAACTTGAGCCTTTGTAGTCTGAAATGGAGTGATGGAAATAAACACATTCTCATCATCCTACAGTTTCCACTGCCTCCCCAGCCCTCTTCCCCCTTCACACCCTAGTGAGTTTCAGTAGTTAGAAAGTACTGTATCTGAAAGCCACAACTTGCAGTGCACCTTGGCACCGAATCACCTGAACATGCTGTGCAGACATCAAGTTCCAGGATCCTATTAATATGTATTTCACGACTTCATAAAAACCAAGACACATAAAAACCAAGTTTAGCCCTAACCGGTTTGGCTCAGTGGATAGAGTGTCAGCCTGTGGACTGACGGGTCCGGGTTCCGTTCAAGGGCACATGCCTGAGGTGTGGGCTCCATCCCCAGTAGGGGGCATGCAGGAGGCAGCTGATCAATGATTCTCTCTCATCACTGATGTTTCTATATCTCCCTCTCTCTTCCTCTGAAATCAATAAAAATATATTGAAAAAACAAACACACAAGTTTGATACTTTTAAGACTTCATACTCTCAGAAGTAAGGGATTGCATATGCAGGTCTGCCACTTAAAAAATTAGAGTCAAGTACACTTCAAATTGTAGCAAAAGTATAATTTGTATTTACAGACTCTCAATATCATCTGTCATATATAATATCTAGATATCATATACTGAGCATGCTATCAACTAGATGATATGAGCAAATCATCACACTAAATTCATCTAAGTAGCGAGGTAGGGGTCAGCAAATCTGACACCCCCTTCAACCTATGGCATGTAGAGAATTTATAGGAATTGTCCACCATCAAAGCACAACTAATTCATCATCACACTTGCACCATTCTTCCTTAAAGTTACAAAGGCCTAACAAATTCTGATTGATGATCAAAAAACACAAAATAAGCACTAAGTCTATAGAAAAAAATATACCTGAAAATTTAGTCTAGTTTCAGCCTTAACCATTACAGGCTAGTTTCTTCTGACAAGTACTTTTCAAAGAACTAGATAGCAAAAAACAGTAGCATACAAGAGGCATGCCAGATTTACCACAGTGTTCTATAAAAGTTACAATAGTACAGCAAGTTACTTTTTCATAAGCTGTATATTCTTGGCATAAATGCTCACTATTGGAACTGTCCCCAACAGAGCCAGTCACTGCCCAAGATTTGTCCCCGAACTTATTTTGTGAAAAGTCACCCGTCTTTGGAAGCAAGAGATTTTTCTTCCATTTACCCTAGAAATAGCAGGTGCGCTGTAACCCAAAATTGGAGGGAACAGAAGCAGCCCCTCTCACAGACCACTTACTTCTCAGAGCATGTAGCATAATTGCTAAGATCTGCACATTGCTTAAAAATTGAGGGAAAGTTTATGTCTAACAGGGGCTTCCTAGCAACTAGCCTCTGATAGACACTCTATGAAATGCATTAAGAAGGGTTTGCTGGATGTCTTTGCAGGGACTATCAGGGGATTTCATAATAGACATGTGGATGTGAACCAAAATTCGCTGACTGAAGGTATACATCCATGAACATGCTTTTAGTCAGAGAGCGGGCACACCAGAGAATATAGAACATGGCTAATTACTACCAGGAGAAGATTTTGCCTTCACCTCCCCTCACTATCAACCTCTTTTCCTAAGTTCACTCACTGCCTCGCCCTGACCCTAGGGAACCATTCACTTTCCATAGCCCAGAGAGGCTGCTGAAAAGCTGTCAAAGTAAATCTGTGCTCACTTTTTGGATAGTTTAATTTCAATGGAGCATGAAACACCCCAGGACGGTTAATAAGTTTAGCCAGGCGTGCTGTTCTCCCTAATATATTTTAATTATGCATCTGTTTTAATTGTAATCAGATTAAATCACTGGAAAGACACAAATTGGAATTTTCCCTAATGGCTATTGGAGCTTTTCATCAGTTTCTAAACACTAACAACGTTTAAAAAATAGGTAGAGCCACGAGCACAACTATGACATTTTCCAGAAATCGATGCAGTTTCTTTGACAACACAGTTCAGGTCTCATTAGCCACCCAAACTAACCCAAATGCAGAAGACAACTTCAGTCTCTAGGGGCGTCTTCTTCCCCAATTAGCACAAAAGAATCACTAATGTCTAATGTGAAACTCACAAACAGAAATGAAAGCCAAGCTTTTATAAAGTGCTACTCCATCGATTAGTGAAAGAGGCAAGGGGAGGGGGGAGGCGGGGGGCGGGGCGGGGGAAGAGCAGGAGAGACCATCAGCAGCGTTATCTTGGCTCCAAGTCAAGTACACTACACGTCAAAAGGGAAAGTTGAAGCAGAGTACGATCCTCTTTCCATTATTTTGGCAACTGTCAAAGGTGTGTGTTACCCTCGGGAAATAAAATTGTCCGTCCCATCAATAAACGGAAACGTTACAGGGAAGATCTATTAGGGGGCGGGGAACGGCTTCCCAACCCAGACGTAAAATCACTCAATGTGCTTTTGTTGCACCAAGGAATACCTAAGACTTTTTCTTTAATACGTTCATTAAACAGTTTCCCAAATTGCTGCGATTTCCGCTAAGAAATTTAAAACGTCTGCCAACAGCCGAGAGTCAAGGGAGAGAACCTGCTGCAAACTAGGAACCCAAACTCCTTCAGCCCGCCCAGCGCGCTCGCGTCCCGGCGGTTCCTGCTTTAAAGGTGTTAATGTTGACGCGCCTCCTAATTCAGGTGCCGGATTAGTTCCTCCAGGAGGCACTTCCAGCCTTAAAGCGGGAAGCTTCGGGGTCACCCCTCCCTCTCACCCCCTTACCTGTCATCATAGCAGAAATCCGCGCTTAGGGTGTTGAGATACAAGGCGAGCCCCAGAGCGCTGCTCACCAACTCTGCAATCATCTCTCCACCGCCTTCCCTCCGGCTCGGCTCCCAGCGCGAGGGCAGCAGCGGCAACAAAAAACAGAAGCATCAATCCCCACCTTCCTCCGCCTTCTCCTCCCAGCTTCACTTTTCCCTCCCTTCCTCCCTTGGGTCCTCCCAATCCACGCGCTCTTCCTCCACCTCGGCCCGTCGTCCTCCCGGGTGCGGGCTCACACCGCGCTCCCCATGCCCGGCGCCCGCGAGCGCGTTCGGGCTACGCGCCCTCCGCGGAGCAACGGGCTGGTCTCCCCGCGCTCGAGGCCCCCACCCTAACCCATGGCCATTCGGGGCACCCTAGGTGAGAGTCGGACCGCGAGGACGTGCAAGATTCCGGGATGGGGCCGACGGACCGGACCGAGCCGGGCTCTGGGACCACCAGCTGGAGGAAGAGAGAGAAAGAGGGGCGGGCGGGAGGGACGAGACGACCCGCCTCCCCTCGCCGCCTCCCGAGCGCAAGGATCGGGTGCCGCTCGGGCTGACTCCCGCCCGCCACAGCGGCTGCAGCTCATTCACTCTTTATTAGCTCTCGGCCAGTCCCAGCCCCTTCTCCCGTGAAGTGAGGAGCGGTGGTTGGAGACTAGAAGCTCCCGCGTGGGGTTCTCGGCGCTGCCCCCGCGCCTGCGTGGCCAACCCTCCTTCCCCAGTTTGCTCAGCCCCTTTCTCCGCCCCGACGCCCTCAGGCCCCGCCCACACTACCCCCACCGCCGGCTGCAGGCTCCTCCCACCCGCCCCCCGCCTCCCTCCGGTTTCTTTCACCTTCGATTTCCCGGTGGAGAGCCCGGGAGACCCCAGGGCGACAGCTGGAGCCCAGCCTGCGGGGGGAGCTGGAGGAGAAACCGGACCCAGGGAGGATGCGCGCGCTCGCCCCGCCGCTGCCGGCGGCGCCTGCCACAGGCTGGTGCCCAGCCCAGCCCAGCCCGAGCGCGGCCAGGCACGAGTCGGGTCCGCTGGAGACTTCTGGGGACCGGGAGAGGAGGAACAGGTTTGGCGAGTTCTGCAGCCTCGGTTGCCACCAACACACACGCGACCTCTCTGCTGGGTTGGCGGGGAGGATTTAGGAGGGAGAGATTGCAGTTCCGAGCGTACCGTTGTCTCGGGTGTCAGTGGAAAGACGTGTAGGGAGGAGAATGTTCCCGCAGTAGGTTAAACAGAAAAGACCCCCCAAAGAGGAAAGAAAGACACGACATGCTTCAGGGGAACTGTCAAGCTGACCCTGAGGACACAGAGAGGAGCCGCCTCTACCGCACTATAACCTAGGAAGGCGGGAAGCTAATGCTTTCCTTCCCGCCCGGATCCGGGACTGGATGGAAGGCGTCCAACGTGATGAAATGTGGTAGAAGAATGGCCGTGTAGAACGAGCTCTGGATACTAAAGTTGCGAGACCAAAAAGGACCACGGCTGCTCGCCACGCCTCCTGGCTTGGCCCTTTCCGCAGTCGAGTGGCTCCCGTGGACTACGATGAACACTACTACGGCGGCGCCCCCTGCCGCATGGCAGCCACCCTGCATGGAAAACAGACCTGTAGTGTGGGCTGACTTCCCCCCTCGGACCCCCTCCCTCCAAGGGCAGCACCTAACCAGCCAGCTCTCCAAAACTGCGGCAAGAAATTGAGCCCCCTGGATGTCTGGCAGTGGCCTGGAAAGCAAATACTGTGGTTTGGGCGTCTGTAAAACAAATCTCCATCTTTTCCTAATTTCACACAGATGAAATGATGAATATTCATCGCACCTATTATGCCATGCAGGATGGACCCATTTTTGTGCCTTGGGAAAAACAGGAAATAAACATACATAAAAGGAAATTGTATATTTTAAGGCTGGGAGTGGTCGACTTTCTTTTTTGTTTGTTTGTTTTAATTGATTTCAGAGAGCTGAAGGGAGAGGGAGAGATAAAAACATCAATAATGAGAGAGAATCTTCCATGGGCTGCCTCCTGCACTCCCCCTACTGGGGATCAAGCCTGCAACCTGGGGATGTGCCCTGACCAGGAATGGAACTGTGACCTCCTGATTCCAGTGCTCAACCGCTGAGCCACACTGGGCAGGCTTACTCTTTTTTTTTCTCCATAGCCTCTGCTCATTGTTGAAAAGTTTTTTTAAAAATCCTACCAATTGACTCATCAAAGTCCTCTTCACAACACTTACATGATCCTAGTACACTAGAGGAAGAGCACCCTACATCTTGAATCCCCACTCTGCTGTTACTATCTAGGCCACTTTAGCCAGTCACAACCTCTCTGAGCTTCAGTTTTTCACCCATAAAACAGCAATGATAATAATACCTAACTGTGGGTAGTATTATTATGAAGATTAAAGTAGTTAGAAGAGTTCTGAATGCAAGAGAAGTGTTCTTTATTATTATTACTATTACTAGAAGCCCCATGCATGGATTTGTGCACTGGTGGAGTCCCTCAGCCTGGCCTGCGCCCTCTCACAATCTGGGACCCGTTGGGGGATGTTGGATATCCAGTTTTGGCCCGATCCCCACAGGCCCGATCCAGACAGGAGGGAGCCCAATCCTGTGCGTTGAGTATCTGTCCCCTGGTGGTCAGTGCGCGTCATAGTGACTGGTTGTTCGGTCGTTCGGTTGCTTAGGCTTTTATATATATAGATGATCTCCAACTTCCTCCTTTCCTTTCAGTTGTTAACTAAACCCTGGATATTTACCATAACATCTGTACTACTGCTATCCCAGTCCAAGCTACCCACATTTCCTGCATGGACTGAGTCAGTAGCCTTGTAAGTGATCTTAATTCTACTCTTGCCACTGCACCTTCCCTCCAGCGTTAACTTCAGGCATAAGGCAGAAGATTCTTTTGAAAACCTACAATTTCCCTACTTAAAAATGTTCAGTGACTTTCTGTTGCACATTGAGTAAAACGAATTCTTACCACGGTCAGCCGGGCCCACGTTGGCCCAGATTACCTCTCTCCCTTTACATGAGCTCCAGCACTCTGGCAACACAGATAACCTTCTCCTGTGGAATTTACCACCTTCTCTTCCTCCCACATGGCTGCTTTCCCTCCACACGTTCTCAAGCTCCTTATCAGCATTCAAGTCTCAGTAAGGCAGGACAAGTGGTACAGGGAAACTGAGACAAATAGCTGTGTTATGGGAGAATTGCCTGGATTGCCCTTTTCCTTTGCTAATGAGAATGGAGTTCTTAGGGTACCACTGGAATAAACATTTCTGGAGGCCCCCACAGGAGGATGAGATGTGGTAGAAGCTTTATTTGCATGGAATTACATCCCTGGGGATTAAAAGTCCTGAAACCAGTCCTGAAAGATGTGCAACTAGGGACTCAGCAGAGCTAAAAGCAAAGCCAGTGTCTGGAGTTTCCATCCCATAGTGAAGCTGGGTCCAGCACAACATCAGACTAGTTACAGTCTATCAGTCCAGCGTGTGGAGTCACACCCTCTGCAACAAGAGAGCCAGGAGCCCAGAGAGCACGCTAGAGCGAGCTCCTTTATTTTGGAGTTTAAATATCAAATCTTTCCATGCTTGCAGTAGCCATGTGTATTCTGGCCAGTGACCTGTTTCCAGGTGTGACTGACAGATAAGAACCTTCCCTACGTAACCCAGACTACAGGGCATGCATCTAGTTGGCCTTCCCTTTGCTCCTTTCAGGCTGAACAAACGACAGAGCAATTTACAGCAGATACAGAAGGCCACCTCCTTAGAAATAACATCTAGGCCTCAGTTGTAGTTCAGCTCCAGGCCCAGAAAAGCAGCAAAACCAGGTGGGCAACACCTGGACCAGCGACAATGACTAAAGACCCCCTGCCCTGTCACTGACCAATCAGTGAAGACCGTGCCCTTGAAGGAGCACACCTAGAAAACTGATGAATATTCTGCTGAAACCCTCCCTGGATGCCTCCTCTAAGATTCCTGCCTGCATAAAAAGGATAAAAGCATCAAGACAAAGGACCCAGCACATGCTCTCCCTCTGGGGAGCAGCATCTGCCATTCCCCTTCTCCTTCCCCCCACAGGTATGCCTCTCCTAAACTCTAAGGGACCCTATGAGACTTGCAACCAGGGAAGCAATGGGCAGTGGCAGTTTGTCCCAGGCTAACCCCTAAACTTGTTCCCACGGCGCTCTTTTCTCTGACTTTCCAGAGGGCGAGGGTAGCCCAGCCTAGGCTCTCCTGTTGCTTCTTCTATGCTAACCCCTTTCTTGTTTTTCTGTCCCAGCTTTAATAAACATTCCCTCATAGTGACCTGGACTCATGTTGTGAAATTTTTTCCGCACGTAGTCAAGAACCCACACACTGCCAGTCAGGCCTAGGCAGACCCACTCAGGGCCAGATCCCTGTTTTCAGCAACATTAGTTCAAATGCCACCGTATCAGAAAGGCTTTCTTAGCCAACATGTTATAAAGTAGCCTCGCCCATCTCTATCTCGATACCTTGTGCTATTTTCTTCATAGTAGGCATTGTATCTGGAATCACCACTAAACTGGCAGCTCTAGCCCTAACTGATTTGGCTCAGTGGATAGAACGTCAGCCTGCGAACTGAAAGGTCCCAGGTTCGATTCTGGTCAAGGGCATGTACCTTGGTTGCAGGCACATCCCCAGTAGGAGGTGTGCAGGAGGCAGCTGATCAATGTTTCTAACTCTCTATCCCTCTCCCTTCCTCTCTGTAAAAAATCAATAAAAAATATATTAAAAAATATATATATTAAAAAACTGGCAGCTCTAAGAGGGCAGGACTTATCAGTCTTGTTTTCCACATAACACCCAGACCCTTTAACATCTGGACAGGCAGGAAAAACTAAAAACACAAAACAAACAGCAGCAGAAAGTTGACAATAAAGGAACAAATACATGTGCTCTGCAGAAACTGTATAATGACTGAAAATCCACAAATTGTCATCATGAGAGAACAAACTGGTTTTTTTTTCAATGTTAACGATACTGAAGAATTAACAAAGGAGAGAGGAAGGAAGTAGGTTAAAATTTCTAAAGAATGCATCGATTCTGCAGGGAAACCTATGGTGGGAAGTCACGCAGAGACAGCTCTCTGCAATAATTAAGAGGACTCAGAGGCATAAAAAGTATAGAGTTTGGGTTCAGTGTGCTAAAAGCTTATAAGCATTTTCCAGAGCTGTCTTCATGTTCAAGGCTCCATGTTCAATAGTTTTAAATATTTTCTATACTCCTTCATCTCCTCCTCCTTTTCTCTGCTCCCCACCACAGCCTAGAAGACTGAGATATGCCACAAAGTAGCACATCTTGCTTTGCCTGATGAATGAAAGGCTGAAAATTCAGCTGTGTTTGAGAAATCCAGCTGCTTTTAACAAATTTTCCTATTATAATGTAACATGGGTTTCAATATTCTTCCAGTACATTAAGCCTTGGTCACTTTCAGACTTCTTGCTAAGGACTGAGAAGCAGCCAATGCCTGCATTTTCTCCCTCCCTTGAATAACTTGGGCGGGGGGCAGGGGAGGCGGAGGAGAGAATTAGATTAAAGATGTCTTTGTTATCGGTGGAAGTGGGGCTGGAAGAAGCATTTCCGGAGGCCCCCATGGGAGGATGAGATGTGGTAGAAAGCTTTATTTTCGTGGCATTAAATCCCTGTGTTTCCACAGTCCCATTTCCCTTAGTCCAGTCATAGAAGAAGTGTAGCTGGGGTTTCAGTGGAGCTAAAAGCAAAGCCAGTGTTCAGAGTTTCCTTTCCATGTTGGAGCTGGATCCAGTTCAGCATCAGGCCAATTGCAAGCCATTAGTCCACTGTGTGCAGGGTTCACATGGCCATAGGACATGTGTGCAAATGCAGG